TCACTTTGATTCCCAAACCAGGGAAAGACTCAACTAAGAAAGAGAACTACAGGCCAATCTCCTTAATGAATATAGATGCAAAAATCCTTAATAAGATTCTAGCAAACAGAATACAGAGGATCATCAAGAAGATCATACATCCTGATGAAGACAGATTTATTACAGGGATGCAAGGATGGTTCAACATACATAAGTCAATAAATGTAATACACTATATTAACAGAGTCAAGGACAAAAACCATATGATCCTCTCGATAGATGCAGAAAAAGCATTTGACAAAATTCAATACCCATTCATGATAAAAACCCTGCAAAAAATTGGAATAAATGGTCTATATCTCAACTTAATAAAGGCTATCTATGAAAAGCCAACAGCCAACATCTTATTAAATGGCCAAAAACTGAAAACCTTCACGTTAAAATGAGGAACAAGACAAGCATGCCCACTATCACCACTCCTCTTCGATATAGTTCTGGAAACATTTTTATTTCTTTATATTATCTATCTTTGTTTTCTTGCATCTCATTCAGAAACATTATTTTGAATTCCTTTTAGATATATATTAGTGAGCTTTCTCATCACTGGGACAAATAGCCTACACCTGCAACTTTAAGAAAGAGAGGTTTATTTTGGCTCATGATTTCAGAAGTTTCAGTCCATGGTTGGCTCCAAGGTAGAAGCATCATGGCAGAAGGGTGTGGGAGAGGATAGTTGGCTGTTGTTGGCAGCCAACAAGCGGGTCACAGGAAAAGATCTTCAGAGAGAAAGGGGGCAGGGACCAAATATAGTCCCCAAGGTCACAGCTTCATAACCCAGACACAGCCATAGTTGTATTTTACTAATCTCCTAAGCAGCTTTCATGCAAATCACATTGAAAAATCAAGCTTAATTGTCACAAAGTATTTTATATATTTCCTTCAAAATTGGGCTCTTTTCTGGAGAATTCTTGTGATCTTTTGAAGATTTTTTGTTTCTTGTATCCCTGGCTGTGCATCTGTGAAATAGTTGCCTCTTCAAATTTAATGGAATATCTTTTATAGGAAAAGATTTTTTTTTCATTTGACAGCATGTATGGCATCATTTGGGTGGGTTCTTTGGATTTGGTTATAGGTTAGCTCAAAAGTGTAACATCTGTGTGATTTCTTCAATTTTGATTGATGTCATCAGCTTCTATTGGTGCCTCAATTATCTAGATTTCAAATTTTTGAAAGTAGTTATACAGCTTTGCAGTGGATACTGACTTTCCAAGGTTGTATCTCAAACCTCAGAGTCAAGCTCTGATGGCACTGAGGCTTGTGATGACAGCTACCACAGTCCTAGTGGTGTGAACATGGAGAAGTCTGTCACCATTTCCCAGAGACAAGCACAGGTGACACCAGGGGTGTCAGCACACAATCCTCAAGGCACAGGATGTCTTAGTTACATTTCTCATTGCTGAGACAAAATACCTTAAACTCAAAATTAAAAGAGAAAAGTTTAGTTGGCTCACAGTTCATAGAGGTTTTAGTCCATAGTTGGCTGTCTCCAAGGTAGGGTGGCATGGCAGAGGAGCATCTCAAGTGAGAAATAGTCCATGACAAAGTAGGGCAGGCAGAAAGTAGCAAGCAGCAAGTCCAGTAAACCTTAGCAGCTTCTTTCTGCCCCTTTTATATTCTATTTAAACTCATGGGCTTAGGTAAGGTATCAAACTGATCACCGGACTGATTTAGTGATCACACACTCTAGATCCAGCCACTTCTGAAAAAGCCCCACTTATGACCACATTAGGCTTTTGGGCAACATCTACACAAACTGAAACACAGAATGTGAACAATACCTTCACCAGTACTCTCAAGATTAATGCAGGTGATGATTGGGCCTGTGCACCGGCAGCTACAGTTCTAGATGGGATGGGATGGAGCATTCCCTATATTTTATGAAATGAGCATATGTAGAGGGTCTGTGGTATAGGTAACCATGAACTCAAGGTATAGAAAATGAAGGGCATCGTCCCTTGATCCCAAGTAGTGATATAAATGGCTTTAACACTCATATATTATAGCACTTTCTGGGAGCTACAAGTGAGAAACTTCTTTAGGTCCAAAGGGACATGTGAAGGTGATGCTGGGGCTGTGAGCACCAGCATATATGGTCCCAAGACTATAAGTTATGGAGACCTTTCCTAGACACCCTAAAGTATGTGAAAGTGATGTTTTGGCTTGTGGTGTTAAGTCCTGGTTGTACTCTAGGTTATCCTCCTAGAGACCTTCCCTAGGTCTCACAAGTCAAATGCAGGTGGCACCAGGCCTTATAATTTAGGTTTGTGTGGATTGGGATCTTTAGGTTATGGATGAGAATACCCCTAGATCACACAAGGAAAATGCTGAGGGCAACAGGCTACTGGCAATTGTAACCTCAGTCCTGGAGCTACGGGATATGAATGTAAATTTTCTCTGGATCCCAGAGACAAAAATGGTTGATGCCAGGCCTCGTGCACTAATGACTGCAGTTTCAAGGCTGTGGGCTGGGGTGAGGACCTTCTCTAGTTTATATGAGGCTACTGCAAGTGGTGCAGACTTGGGGTACTGCTACTTGCATTTCTGGAGTTACAAAATATGGAAGGAAAGTTCCACAGAACTTACAGGACAAGTTTGGGCTTTTTGCCCCAAAACTGGGGGCTGGGTGGAGACTTTTGCTGGTTTTCATGGGGTACATGTCATGGTTTGAGCAATGGCAGGCACAATCCTGAAGCTGTGAGACACAGCCAGGACCCTCTCCAACTCTTCAAAGACAGACATGAGTAATGTAAAGACCTTTTACTCCAGCAACTGCAGATGTTACCAGTTAGTTGGTCTTAGTCTTGCCTGATATCCAGGCTTTTTGTATCCCAAAGAGTTAAACAGACACACAGAAGAAGTAAGAAAAGCAGAGATTTATTAAAGGGAACGTATACCCCACAGAGTGGGAATAGGCCAATGAGAAAGCTCAAGAGTGAGATAGACTAAGAGTGGTCCCATCTGTTTTAGATTTGAGGTTATAGTATAAATGGAAGAGTTTCAAGTAGGTAGTACCCAAAGACACCAACTACAGTAAGTTCCGGGATTGGCTTCTCTTGTTTTTCTAGAACTGGGGGAAAGATCAGGGGAGGTAACTAATTTGGCTTCTTTCCTGTCACCTGTCAGTCCCTCACCTTGGAAGGAGAAGTTTTTGAATTTTAATGGGCATGGTTGGAACCAGCATGGTAGTCAAAGCCCACTAGGGAGGTCAAAATCACAATGCTAATGATAATGACCTTCGTTTAAGCTAAAGCAGTTAGAGTATGTGCTTCTTAGGCTTGTGTTACAGGTAAACCAGGTATGACAAGGGCAAGAGTGTATATTTTAGGCTTGTGTCAGGATGTTAAGGAAATATGGTGAGGATAGGATTATATTTCTCAGGCTTATAGTGGGAAATATGGTGAAAGCAGGATGTTCTGGTGGTCTTCCAGAGCCAGAGGTATTCTTTCTATTATGAGCCTAAGGCTAGGATGCTTCCCACACTATCACTAAGTTGATGAGATAGGAAGGCAACCTTTTCTACTTTCTGTGTGGCAAGTACAAGTGAGCCTGGAGCCTTGGGCTGTGTCTCTGGAAGCTGTGGGTCCTGAAGATACAGGATGCTGAGGGGGAGGCCCTCTGCCCTGTGAGGTACCTGCATGCTTCTATGGCATGCTTCTGTCAGTTCAAGGGGCCAGCTGCCAGACTTTAAGGCAAGAAGATACCTAGTAGTAGTTGTCTCAGTAGCTTGGGTCTGGGGTTTGGGAGAAACCCAATGTTAGTTTGTCTTTTGAAACAGAGTAGCTGCTCTGAGACTAGCCAGACTTAAAGCTGTAATAACTGTGGGGATTTCCCTACAGTTAGCATTGTGGTTCTGTTGCTGATGTGTGTGGGGGTGGGGTGTTGAGACTTTCCCACTTACCTTTCCCCACCATTATGGAATCTCTTCTCCTCCCCAGCTCACCCAGCCAGGAATTAGTGTTGAAGTTGCAGTTGACATTGTTCTTTTATCTAGGTTGCCTTTCTAATTCTCCATGCTGTTTTAAAATTCCTCTCACTTCCTTGCTGATTTCCAGAGTTTTTGCTTAGTCACTCTTCTCAAAATATAATCTTTCATTTGTGTCTCTGGTTCTTCTCTATAGTAGAAGTTGTGTGTAGGTCACCTCTGTTCAGCCACCTTGGATCTCCCGTCAGAGCTGTCAGTGAGTAGCTCCCAACTGGAAGACTCAGTTTCCCTAATGATTCTAGTGTTATCTATGCAGATCATATATGTAGATTATTAAATTTCTGTTAAATCACTCTCCATTTTGAGTCCTAATAGCAAGACTGGGAGGGTTGAGTTTGTCTCTTTCTTTAAATTAAGACAACCATAGAGAACTACAAATAGTCCAGCTTCAGCGTTCCTTGTGTTATTGGCTTGTTGTAGAATTCTTCATTTTTAGCTTCTAATGAAAAGAATTTCTTAGAATTTTGCTTTATGTGCCTTTCCTAATTGTATATAAGGATCCATACCCACTCAGTTTAAATATTCCTACCAACAATTCTATCTCCACTTCCTAATGAGTCCTGTTTCCCTACATGCTCACTCAAATTATTAGCATAGTATTATAAATCTGTCTGCTGTAAGCTTTTTCAGAAAATATTTCATATTTGAAATAAAGCATGTTAAAAGTAACGACAGTCAAATACAGTGAAAGAGTTTAATCAAAACATGGACAAGAAGCTAAGGTAATTTGTACCAAATTGCAAATTGTACCAGGTTACTTGGTTTGCTAGGAACAGAAGTTAGGCACCAGGTTTTAGAATTACTTTTCTACTGTTGGGCAAATAGATCAATTATTTATGAGATTTGATCATCAGTTATAATGATCAAATAATGGAAACAATGACCTCTTTCATAAAGTTTTTAAAATCTGGTAGCTTTTTATTGAAATTCACAGAATCTATAGAAACACACAAATGGCTTTTGTTTCTTAACTTTACAGGAAATCAATGTGTTGACAGTTGCATTGGTCAACCAAGACCGAGAGAACAATATTGAAAAAAGAAGCCAAGGCTTAAAATCAGAGAAAGAAGCTCTGCTAATAGGTAAGGAAATTGTTTTCTTCATCTATTCTCTTAAATAATTCTTAGGTAATTAGCTAAATTTCAATATTTTAGTAATTCACCTCCAACATTTAATAATTTAAACAGCTTTGACTTCTAGTTGGAAATAAGATTGATTTTGTCAAGATTATATTATGCATACTACAAATTAGTGGCATACAAGCTAGTTGAGTTTTTCCTTTCTGCAACCATGTACATATATTAATTTCTTTTTAGGCATAAAACTGAGTTCAAGAAAACAGGTTTTCATGTCACAAATCCAAATTTTAAAACTGGACATGGCCCTTCTGACTGGAGGCAAGGTTAGTTCTAGTCAAAAAGTTCAAAACCAAGCCAGACTCTTGTGCAGCTTTGAACTCAGAAATTAACCTTGAAGCCTCTTAGCAGAGGTCACATGGTCAGACTAACCCCAAGACCAAATCTATAATGCTGCTGAAATAGGTGCATCCAGACTACAATGCTAGGCTAATCCTGGATAGTCTAATCCAGACTTTCCCATCTGAGTGCAGATCAACTTATCCAAGATGGGCAAATTAGCTGGCCACTAAGAAAGAGGAAGGGAGGAGGAAAGAAGGTTCTGTTCACCTAAAACATTCAGTTGCCCCACAAAATACATCTAGATTGGATTTTTCTTTGGCTGAACCAGAGAAAAAGCTCTAACCATTCTCTTTTGAGAATCTTCATCAGGAGATCCAGAAGTAACCCTTACTTTCTCAGGGAAGAATACCTGTTGGGGGTGTGTTGGCAGTATGGCTGGGTACCTACCTTAGCAGCAGGTTGGTCCCTGAAGCCCTGAACCTCTGAAGAAAAAGGCATTACCCTAGCTGTAGTGCAGTCTTGGTTAAAGTTATGCCGTGGCACTGACCTCAGCGTGGGGTTCCAAGTTCATACTGGCGTTTTCATGGCACAGTTAACAGAAAAGAATGAGGCTACCATACACATGAGAAATTGTTTTTGTGTACTTTGTTATCTGGCAAAAGTAGGGCCTGGTTGCATTTTCTAATATTGTATGTGCTTTCACCTCAAGCTGACAGGTACACCAGGGCCTGCAGAAGCTGGCACAAGAGGAATTAAATTCAAAAGATAGTCCAGACTTCATCCATCATATATAGATTTTTCAACTACAGGGTTATTGAATATGACATCAACTTAGAGATACTCCAAGGAAAACCAATTATTTTTTTCTCTCTGATGATATACAGCTGTAATAACATGCCATGCGCAAGTCTCAGAAGACATGCTGATGTGCTATCAGTTCCAGGAACTCAAAATGAACCCATATGTAGTTGGTAACTGGATTTTTCTCCTATTGGAAAATGTGTCCAATTCTGACACTGTATCTCTTTCACTCACTGTGAAAAAGATGTAACTTCCCTCATAATACTTTTAGGGTATGAACAAAGCCCATAATGATCTACAGAAAACTTTCTCTCCTTAAGTGTGAGTAATTCTGATCATATAAGTGTAAAAAAAAATAGTGGAAATAGTTCTCTTTTTTCTTACTGCTGTTAGACACTGCTTCCCCTTTTATGTTTTAGAGAACAGCTCATTTACAAAGTCTTCTACATAGTTACTAGAAGAAATATACATACATACAGATATTTACACATGCATTTTTAACCAGCTGCCTCAAAAATTTAAAAAGCATGTGCATTACACATTGTACATTAATAGGAGTCGATAGGTTATATTTATATGTTTGTTTGTATTTTTTGAGGTATTAGGAGGGTATTTGCAATGGCCTATATTCCTTGCTCTTAAGTGACCATGATTTGGAGATTTGCAGATCTAGATTCTGAGACTTTTGAAAGTTCAATCCTTCTGCAAAACTCTCTTCTTGACAATTAATGGAGCTGAGTTATTGTGTTCCAATTCAACTAAAGAAGATAGACTCAGGAAATATTTCATTGTGATTTTAGGATTATTTACTTTGTAGTTCTTGTGAAAATAAGTTAACATATAATTGGACTTTAAGAAATCAGATTTAAGTGGAGGGGCATTGCTGGGTAGCTATTTAATGTCTCATTGCTCATTAGTAACCACATGTTAAGTCAGCTTGATGCTGCCCAGTGTCAGTGCCAGAACTCCTAGTCCACTGATGGTGAAACTTTTAGAGCTTTCAATGATACAAACAGCCTGCTGTGGCACAGGTGCCGTAAGTTTACCACCACTGTCGTAGTCCATTTCACATATGGCCCATATATTACATGTAGCACACACTGGAGTTGTTTGGGATAGAATGAGTCAGTTCCTAGAAAGAGTCAGGGCCTTTTATTTGAGACCAAACCTCTGGAGCTATATTTGGCTGGAAACCATTTAATATTTACAAAGGAGAAGAGATCAAAATTTGTATTGATAAGCGAATGGCTCTAAGGAGATATTGATGTTATAACTTGACTATGTATTACTCTATCTTTTCCTATGAATATTAACTCAGTAGATTCCAAATTCCAGCACCTCTCATTGGCATCCTGTCAGTGTTAGTCATCACTGCCAATCCCATCCATATATAGTACAATAGCAACTTTCCTAGCAACTTTAACTGTTTACAAAGTAGTTTTTCTTCAAAACCTCCTTAGTCCCCTGAATATTGCCTTCAAATTCTTAATGATCAGGCAAACTTTTGCACACACCATCTTGAGTCCTGTGTAGCTCAAAACATCCACCGTGAGACACAAGGTGCCACTATACTTCAGGCCCTGCTCAAGACACTATTCCCAATATTGTCAGCATCTCACATGTATGCACAGTCTATGTCAGTACTGGAATGTTCCCCTAGTTCCTAGGCATCCAGGAGTAGATAAATTGAATGTGGCAAAATAACATTTACAGAAAGTTGAGCTGGAATTTTCAGTAAATAGAGTTTAAGGCTATATTTAGGCTGTACCTGAGTAAAGTAATCTGAAGTAATCTGTTCTTCCCTAAAAGCTACTGACCATATAGAATGGGTCACTGACCTAAATCTTGCTTCTAAGGCATAAATGTCCCTATCAATAAATCAGTAAACATTTGTCGAGGGTTTACTCTAAGAATCATCAGCCTGTGCTGTGCAAAAAATCAGTTGGGAACCCTATTGAAAAGACAGAATTTTGGGCCCCTCATACAGATTCTGTTCATTGTTTGCCAGTCCTAAAGCATGAATAGGGTTGCACCGGATGGATAAGAAAGTTGTCAAGGGCATTTCAAATGCAAACAATTTAGAGAAGCCCAAGATAGTTGGAGGAGCTTACTTAAGACAAACAGATGGACAAATATTTTTGAAAACAAAACAGACAGTAACCAACATAAATGATCAGGTTTTGTACTCATCAAGTAAACAGAACAAACTATCTTTGTAAATTAAAGATGTCTAGAATACCAAGGCACTAAAGTAGCAGTCCAAAACCCAAGTGTCTGCTAGCCTTCTATTACCCACTCTCAGGCTTGCCTCTCTCCATTTACCACAAGCTCCTTGTCATTATTTAGCTGCCAACCCACTGCCCCTCCTGGCCCAGTGGGAGATCCAGATCTCACAGGGCTTCCACCCTGACAGCTCTCCAGTTCAGCGTTCACACAGCATATGTGCTCTAACAAGAAGCAAGACTCCTTCGGGCTTTTTTGTGGTCAGGCCTCTGCTGCCCCTTGCCCAAGCAAGATATGATGGTGTACAGAGACACAGATGTTCCTCTTCAGAGCTGAGGTCCCTGGGGCACCCATGTATCCTGGAAAGCTAATAGTCTTTTGAAGTTTTCTTGAGACCTATCAACTAGTGTGGATATAGAGAAAGTTACTCTCAGCCAGAACTTTACACTTTACACAAAGAATTTGGAATGAAAACTCCAAGCAACCTGGGGAAAATGAATATATTCTGTTAGAATTCCTTTTCTCGTTCCATTCAACACATAACGCACCAACCAATCTCAAAGTACAAATTGATATTTTGATCTGATCAGGTAGCCAATCTAATTTTTTTTTAAATGGGAATTCACAGGAGACAATAATGAGAGTGGAATGGATTTGCCCTTGAAGAAACCACAATTCCTGATGATCTCTAAACAGTCCTGGGTGGAGTAGTACAGAAGGGAATCCTATGTATTTGTGGAATGAGTCATCTGACCCACTGGGTACCCTAGAACAAACTACTCATCTACCATTGGCTAAGTTCTCATATTGTACAATTAGGAGGATTGATTAGATGGTCTTTTTCAACTCAGTCCTCAGTGACCTGTGAGGACTACTTCAGAGCTACACCCCCTTTAGACAGTGACCTTGTATGAAAGTAGAGGATCACATACATCAATATATAGAAATGACCTCCATTATCTTATACCTTGATAAGAGTTTCGGATGTAGCTAAGTGGTAGAGTGCTTTACCAAGCATGTAAAAGCTCAATACTCAACATGCCCCTCCAAAAATTTCAATAAATAAAAGAGAAGGAAAACCTATCTTGACTCTTTAACCTCTTTCATCCAGTAGCACATTCCCTTGCTCCTCATCAAAGTGTAACGTCTCCAAAGCATGATCTATACTCTCGGTTTCCATTTCTACCCCTCTCTTCAACCTCCACCTGTCCAGCTTATACCCTCACACTGACATTGTTCTCGTTCACGTGAACAGAGAACATCATTTTGCCGGTTTCTGGGCTCCCTTCATCTATCAGATGCACTTTGCATGATTGAATTCATATGTGAATCTTCTGGAAATGCTTTCTTCTCTGGCTGTCATGACAACATTCTTCCTTGTGGATCATTCCCTCTCACATTCCTTTGCTGAGTTTTTTCTCAGCTTAACCCTTGAATTTTGGGCTTCCCTGGGGTTTACCCTTGAGCCCTCTTTTGGTTTCTCACTACACTTGGAATTTCATACAGACCCTTGACCCTGGCACATAAAGCTCTCCATAGTCCATCCCCTAACTGGTTCTAAATGCACACTGTACTATTTTCAAGTCAGGTGTGTGGCTGCCCACTCATTTCTGCATGAGGGCCTTTGCACTATCTGTAGCTTGTACCTAATCTTTCTCCAGGCTTTCTGTGACTGGTTTCTTCTCACCTCACATTTGGGAAATTTTGCTTTCTTAGAGAGGCCTTCACTTGACCTCCCAGTAGTAAATGGAGCTCCGCCAAGCTCAAGGTCACTATCACTTCTATCCTATTAGCTGTTTTATTTTCTACATTATGCTTACTACTCTTCAAAAATTTTATTTTTAAATATTTGTGTTTATCATCTACATTCATCTACCATAAAAATTCTACAAGAGTAGGCATGTTGTCTGTTTTATGTGTTTTCCTCTGGAACCTTGACACCACGTTGCTGCTAAGTGTTGAATACAGTGTTTAAATGAAATGAAGAAAAAGAAAACAACAAAAACTAAAATTATTTTGTTAATTTAAATGCAGTTCCATTGGTCTGAAGTAAGCTTCAAAAATGAGAATAAATTAAGTGGTTTTGACGGAATGCTTGTGTGCAGGCAGCCTGTTTTAGTGGGCCTTCCTAATGAGATTTGCTACCAGTTGTACAGAGCTGTTTATGCTTTTCTGCTGTTAAGGCTCTGAGACATGTAAAAGGGCCCACTGGTACTGACAACTTCCTCTGCTTCTTTGACTGTTTTCATAAACTAGCTATTTACAGTTATATTTTCTACTATTGGAAGGCCCATTTTAAGTACGGAGACCTATGGAAATGGCTAGCAGCAGTTGTTGAGTCTGTCGCTTTGCAGATTCACCAGTTCAATATCAGCTAAGTATTCCAGTCTCAATTCCTAGTATTCTTCTTACCAAACTTGAGGTCACTCCCAGATAATAATCTACACTTGGGGTTTTGCCACACTTTTTATTGACTTTTGCATTACAGCTTTCCTTTTACTATTCCCAGGAAACATCATAGTTCCCTTAAAAGAGCTACAGAGGGAATTCAGCTATTTATTTAGGAAGTTCCCCTGAAATGAATGTGATTTTAAAAAAAGGCATAGAAACTACATTTTTCCTTTGACAGTTAAAACTGTCAAAACTGACATATTAAAACTGACCATCATTACCTTTCATCATCACCTTAATTTCATAGAGGGGTACTTGAGGGAGAAAATTACAAAGGAAGAAGAGAGACAGAGAAAAGGATAAGGGAAACAAGGATGCCAAAATAAAATGGTAGTTCTTTGCGTCTCAGAAGAACAGACCAATATGTTTAGCTTTTGAAGATTTTAGCTTTATGAAGAAATTATTTCTATCTTCTTCATTTACTATAAACATATAAAAGCAGATTTCAAAAGACAGGTCTTAGAGAGTACTTTCCTAGACCTTTTTTTGGGTACAGGGATCAAACTCGGGTCCTTGTGCTTGTGAGGCAGGTAGTAGAACCACCGAGCTAAATCCTCTGCCCTGACCTTTTAGTTCTCTATCTTCAAACTAAGGATATACTTGGAACTTTTCTTTTAAAACTGACCTTCATCCTGTAATATCCCAAGCAGCTTGCACAAGACCTTGTCCCAGATCAATCCAAGGTCCCATGCAAATAGAGCATGGCCTAATACAAGCATGATGTTCTTGCCTGGCACTTGCTGTGACTGTGCCTCATTCTATTGAGGATCTTCTCTTGGACCTTTAGCTCCCCAGCCTCAAGATTTACAATAAATAGAACATGAGACTTAATACATTTTAAAACCTGCTTAAATATCCATCTGAGCACAACCTCCTAACAAACATCAGTGTAGGGCTGGGGATTTAGTCAGTGGCTCTGCTGCCTGCCTCACAAGTACAAGGTCCTGAGTTCGATCCCCAGTACCAAAAAACAAACAGCAGTGCAGTTTGTGGAGCTGACTTCCTCATTATTTTGATTTTCAATACAGAAGCAGGAGAGATAGAAGAGTAATGCTTTGTACTTCAGCCCATACACCAACATCCAACTGTTTGTATGTCAGTACAATGTTGACAGTTGATTCTCACCAGGGAAAAGTCTGATTTATCATCAGACACCAGCCAACACATCCATGTCTTGACCTTTTTAAATGACCTTGTAAATTATAGTAGAGAAGGGCAGAGTGTGCTGGCTCCCTTTCAACAACAACAACCCGAGGAAACAGCACATGTTGCAGGAAGAATGTGTGCTTCCTCCAGTAAAAGCTAGGGGAATATGAATTCCATACTTCTCGTAACCAGCAACTGTAATAGTCAGGAAAATTTAAGACAGTGTGATTTCTGACATAGCCGTATGAGCCATTTTCATACTGCAGAGTCCACTGAGAGAAAGAAAAAAGATAATTTTATCCTTTCAATAACTATAATTTTATATTGGTAAATCAAGCATAAAATTGGTAGTTGAACTGCCTCCAAGAGTTTTTGTTTAGAAATACCTTTATTCGCCTATGTATTATTTCAGAGTGTAGCTTTGCTAACTACTGTCATTCTAGGAGACAAAGTGTTCAGTTTGCCATATTACTACTACTGTCTGCAGAATGTGCTATTACTGGATGCTTGTTGAGTGCTGTTAGAAATGGCAAGACATTAACTCAGCCTGACCAAAGTCATTGAGGTCAGATGGCTTTATGTATGTAATTGAGACTTTTGCTGGCCTCTAAATTTTTCCCAATGTTTGTCTTTTTAATGCAGGCATCATATCCACATTCCTCCACGTTCATCCTTTTGGAGCCAATATAGAATATCTCTGGTCATACATGCAGCAGCTGGACTCCAAGGTAAATTATGTTTCTTGATCAAACTTTCATTTATGAAATTTAGCATGTTGATTGCTGGCTGTGTGTGGACTCTGTGAGCTGCATCAGCCTGAAACAGTACGCAGAGGTTTATCAGCACTTCTTTTTTATAGGGACCTTGGGTTTGGGCAGGATAGTTGTCTCCTTGTTTGCCTTTGTCTCTCTAGAAGGAAAAGGAGTTATCTAAAATGACAGTGACTGTCCACAGGTGCCAAATTACTTTGAAAAGCTTATGAGAGATTTAAGATTACAGGTTGGCCTGAAAATTCCCAAAACAGGAGAAATCAGGTGAGGATAACTAAGTAGGCATAACCCTTAGGCCATATTCTCACAGGATTCCATGTTAGGGACTTCACACAACTGAGGAAAAATCATCTCAAATAATATAAACATCCATTATGGCTCTCAAGGAAATCAATGTATCAGTGGCTGTTTTTCTGTATTATTATCAAAGTGGAAAAAACAACTGCAAAGTTATTCTTACCTATGTCCCTTAAGGTTCACATCCAGAATTAGAAATCACCCCCCTCTCTGAAATTCAGCTTATATCTGCACACTAGTCATATTCTTAGGCCATTGCAGTATTTGTGTGCCAAAAGAGAAGGGACCGCCTAAGAGCTCATTGAATTTGAATTTGAGCTATTGAATTTGAATAAACAGTGAGACGGACCACTGTTGAAATAAAGTGATGGCCCTATCCAGGGCTGCCTGGACAATCCAGGAAGGGGATGAACACAGCACTGAGTCACTGAGGAGTCTGTGAAACTTCCTGCTGGAGGGAAAGTGGAAAGAACAGGTACTGTTTCCCAGGGCAAGAGCCAAGTGCATGGAAGGTATACCATCAGATGCATAGGCTGTAGTTGTATAACCCTACCTAGACATGCATAAGTCTTTCTAAATTTTAGCATGGACTCAATTAGTACCCTGTATTATTTGACTCAAACAACCTTCCCAGAGTGCTTGGCTTAGTACTTCCCTTTGAGATAAATCATCTGGAATTAGAAGTATTTTTCAGTCATAGAGACTTTTTATGATAGGCCAAAACAGGATGTGAAAGGAGTTAGATTATGAATTTTTTAATCCTCATTAGCATATGTTAATTGCACATATTAATGGGATTTAGGGTATATCTATTCATGCGTATAGTGTGTACTAATCATAGTCAGTCTCCCTCTTTTCACCCTTCTCCTCTCCTTAATTCTTCATAAGCACTATTCTACTTTCATGTCAGTGTTATATTTGAAATTGAACATGCGGTACTATCTTTCTTTAGCTTATTTCCTTTAACATAATGTCCTCCAGTTCCATCTATTTTGCTGCACATGACAAACTTTTATTGTTCTTTATGGCTGAATAATACTCCATTTTTATTTTCTTTATTCCTTCATCTGTTGATGGCCACTTAGGCTGACTCCATACCTGAGCTGTTGTGAATAGTGCCATAATAAACAGGAGTCCACAAGTATCTCTTTAGTATACTGACTTCATTTCCTTTGCATATATGCCTAGGAGTAGGATAGCTGGATCATACTGTAGTTCTATTTTTGTTTTTTTAGGAACCTCCTCTTTCCCATAGTGTATATACTAATTTACACTTCCATCAACAGTGTATGAGAGTTTTTCTCCACATCATTGTTAGCATTTGTTTTTGTTTTCGTTTTTATTAGTAATAGCCATTCTAACTAGGGTGAGATGGTATCTCATTGTAGTTTTGATTTGCATTTCCCTAGTGACAAATGATACTGAACATTTTTCATATAATTCTTCACCATTTGTAATTCTTTTAGAAATAGCTTTAAAATAATTTGCTCATTTTAAATTGGATTTCTTGATTTTTAATAAGTTTTTGTGTTCTTTATATATTCTCAGTATTAACCCTTCATCAGATGAATAATTATCAGTGGTCTCTTCATTCTATTGTCTGCTATGAAGAAGCTTTTTGGTTGTTGTAATCCTACTTCTCCATTTTTGCTTTTGTTTCCTATGCTTTTGGGGTCTTATCCAAAAAAAATCATGGCCTACACCAATGTTTTTAAAGGGTTTCTCCTATATCTCCTTGTAGTAGTTTCAGAACTTTGAATTTTGTATTTAGGTCTGATCCATTTTGAGTTGATTTTTTTACAGGACAAGAGATAGTACTAAAGTTTCAATCTTCTGCATTTCCAGTTTTTCTAGCACCATTTGAGACTGTCCTTTCTCCATTGTACATATGTTTTGGTGCCTTTCTTAAGAGTCAGTTGGCTGATTCTTACATGGATTTATTTCTAAAATCTTTATTATATTTCTCTGGTCTGCAAGAATGTCTGTTTTCATGACAGTACCATGCTGTTTTGGTTACTGTGACTCTAGTGTGTCTTAAAATCAGGTAGTATAGTGCCTCTAGTTTTGTTCCTTTTGCTCAAGATTACTTTGGCCATTTTGTTAGGGTCTTTCATGGTTCCTATGAATTTAAAAAATTTTTATTTCTAGTTCTACAGAATATCATTGGTATTTTGATGGGGATTGCATTGAATCTGCAGATTACTTTGGGTAGTATAGACATGTCAGCAAAATTAGTTCTTCCAATTCATGAATTTCGCGGGGGTTGGGGGGGAGTCCAACTTTTGTGTCTTCATCTTTTTCCTTCATAATTGACTTGTAATTTTTAATGTAGAGATTTTTATCTTACTTGGTTTTTTAGGATTTTTAAAATATCTATGGTGAATGGATTTGATTGCTCAGAAAATTTATGAATGTATAAAAAAGCTACTAATTTTGGTACAATGCTTTTAGATCCTGCTACTTTTCTGAATTAATTTATCAATTTTAATGATCTTTTAGTAGAATCTCTATGTTTTTGTATGTACAGAATCATACTATCTGCAAACAGGGATAATTTGACTTCCTCTCATCCTATTTGTATGTTTTTTATTTAACTTTCTTAATTGCTCTAGCTAAAACTTCTAGTGCTATATTGAGTAAAAGCAGTGAGTAGATACCCTTGTCTTGTTCCTAATCTTAGTAGAATTGTTTTCACCTTATCCTAATATGGTATGATAGCTATTCATTGGAGCTGAAATGTTCCCCAAAAGTCCATGTGTGAAAAACTTGATCCTTAGCCTGTGGCAGTTTTGGGAGGTGGTACAGCCTTTAAGAGATGGGCCTTGTTAAAGGAAGTTTGTTGGGGTGTATCTTTGAAGGAAATATGGGATCCCAGCCCCTTTCGTTTCTCTTTGCTTTCCAAGTCCCATGAAGCAAGCAGTTTTGCTTTACATGCGTGCCCTGCCATAATGTTCTGCTTCACCAAAGGTCAAAAGTCATCAAGGCCTAGGGACCATGGACTGTTAACCTTGAGGTAAAATAAACCTGTCCCCTTTAATTTTGTTTTCTCAGGTATTTTGTCACAGCAATGAAAAGTTGACTATGATGTTGACTGTAGGTTTGTCACCTATAGTCTTTATTGTGTTGGGAATGATCCTTCTGTAACTAATTTGTTTAGGATTTTTATCATTAATGTATGTTAAAGTTTATCTGATGTTATTTATGTATCTATTTGAAATTAGCATAGATTTTTATCCTTTACTCTGGTAATGCGATTATTACAGTGGTACCTCGGTTCATGAATGCTTTTGTTTGTGAACAGTTTGGTTCTCAAACAGAGGCATTCAGCAGAATTTTGTTTTTGTTTGCAAACTCTGCATCAGGCGATGAACATGACTGTGCCCATTTTTCCCAGAATCATGAATGAAGATCGGGAGCTGAGGCACCACCATACATTACTGATTTTTCATATGTAGACCCATCATTGTATACCTGAGATGAAACCAACTTGATCATGATGTATGATATTTCTGATATGTGAATTCAGTGTATCTTGTTGGAGAGTTTTCCATCTATGTCCATTTTATTGCTGTGTCCCTGTCAGGTTTTGTAACAGAGTGATGCTGGCCTCATAGAATGAGTTTGGAAATATTTTCTCCTTTTCAATTCAATGACATTGTCTGAGAAAAATTGGCATTCTTTGTGAATTTAGCACTGAAGTCATTGAATTCTGGGCTTTTTAAAATTGGGATAGTTTATTACTGATTTAATCTTATCACTCATTATTGATCTAATCAAGTTTTTTTGTCTTTGGTGCTAGCTCCAATGCTGATGGGTTGGACATGTCCATTGTCTTCTTTTCATTTAAATGTTAATCTGTATTCTCATGGATTTTATTGAACTTTTTATAATTCTTTTGAATTCTTTATCAGGCACTTAGTCCTTTTAATTTTAGAAACTGTTGCTACAGAGTTAAGATCTTTTGGAGGTATCATATTACTTTATTTTTTCATATTTCTTGTGTTTCTACATTGAGATTTGTGCATATAATAGAATAGCTATCACTACCACGTCTGTGGAGTGGCTTCCTTAGCTGCTTTCTCCTGAAAATGTGTTTTGGGCTGTCAGCTTGTTATGCAGTTTCACCTTTGATTCTAGCTGAGCGGTGTCATGTATTCTCCCTGTGGCTTCTTTCGCTATGATTAGTGAGTTTGGGCACAGTATATACTGCGATAAATTTGGAGATACCCATTATCTCTAGGGCTTGCAAGAATGGGGGCACTAGTAAGTTAGGCAGGTATGGTGTAAACAGCAGTGGACGTGGGGTGCTTATGATGTAGCTTTCCTACAATAGGAGTGGCACCTCCTGTCAGGGTATGGATGTTTCTTTAGCTACTTTGGGCACCAGCCCTGTTGCTACTATAGGCCTCCGGAACTAGAAGCCCCAGCAATGGTGAGGAGCCAACAGCTCTTGCTCTCCATCAGTGCTTCATGGGGGAGGTGATGGCAGGAACCACAGCACCATCGTTTTGATTACATCCAGTCCTGGCAGTGCATGGTGAGACAAGCTGTAGGGGTGGTGAGTGTTAGGAAATATGTAGGTGGGGGTGGCAGTAGGAACTGTAGTGTCTCTACAGGAGTGTCCACCTGTTTGTGTGTACCAGTGGATGGGGCAATGGCCA